GATTTTGTCCATCCGCAGCGGGGTCGTCATTTTTCGAAGGTACTTTTGTTTTGCTTTGTCAAGGACGACCAACAAAAAACAAACATTGGTTTGGGTTTCAATAGAAAAGAGGAGACTCATATGAGGGTCGTCATAAAACTCATGTATCGGGTTTAGAATTCAGAAGTTCTTACTCAACACGGCATGAGGTTATGATGATCCTCTCACTGTGTGCCTGTTGTTGTTCTTAGCAAGCTTTCCCATTTTGTGTCCATTTCAGGTTGGTGTATTTGCAGGGAAACCAAACAGAAGAAAGAAAACAGTCTCTCTATTTTGACACATACCCATGCGTGCCCGTGTCAACGACCCCTGTGCCTGAGGTTGGTAGGGATGGTTATCATTTGGGGAAGGCTACAGGCGTGGGCAGTTGGGGGTTTCGGAGTATTTCTGGTGCTCACTTCCGTGCGTCAGTGTGTAGGACACGTGTTCAGAGATGGACACCCAACGCTTTCCAGTGCAAAGACCATTTGTTGAAACAATCAAGCTGTGCTTCTTCTGAAAGGAAGCCAAAAGGAAGCTGCTCAAACAAGAGTGGTTCAAACATGTTTTGCACACGGGCCTCGCTCAACCGATGGAGTACAAGGTGAGTGAGTGAGCATAAGTCGCTTCAGCTTTGTCTGGCTTGGCGTCCCTTGGCCTGAGAAATTCCTTCACAAAAAGCACAAGAGAGGAGCCATTGGAGGGCTCGGCAAGCTTTTCTGATTTAGTTTACCGGGAAGTGTGGCAAACGCGGCTTCTGCAGTCCTGGAACTGGAGAAAGCAGATAAGACTCGTGAAGGTCCATGGCTTGCTTGGAGGGGACAGGGCTCGGAACCCCTAAAATGCTTGGTTTCTGATGTCGGGACTCGGGCCGACCTTGTATTTGGGGCGATGGTACGCCTGTGCTAAGACATGGGTGGCAATTCCGATCTTCCCTGGGGCCCGGGCCTCAGTTGAAACTTGAGCGGCCTTTTGCCGGGCGACAGGCTCTTTTTGCGGAGAGCGCAGCTTTGGTTTTCTTCAACGTCAGGACCTGATATCGCGTCCATTCAGTCTTTGGAAGACTGCGCTCTGTGGCGGGTTTGCTTTGGATGCTGTAAAATACGACATCTTACTGGCCCGGACGAAAAACAGGGGAAAAAAAGCTCCAAACAAAATCCGAAAAAAAAAGGGGAACAAAACATGAAAACACACATCGCACCCGTTTGCTTTCCCTAAGCGCCTTTGGAGTCCCAAGCTTTGGGCCCTTGGCTCTTGACAGCTTCTTTCTCCCGGAAGAGCGCGCGGCCGTGGGCCTTTGGTCTGTGCAACGGCCGACTTGCCAAGGAACAAAGGGGAAAGTTCGAACTGGCACACCCTGAGTTTCTGGCTTGCGAGAATTGAAAGCTGGCATTTTGTTCGTTTGGTCCTGCGTTGGTCTATATTTAGTGGCCCAAGCTGGGGAAACTCTGGGCAATGGTCTCACACCTCTAGGGTCCAGGGTTTGTAGGACACCAATCCGTCAAGTCCGGGTTTGGCGCAATCTCTCCATGGACAGCATCTTAGCTCTCCCATTGGGGCTGGGGGTTTGAAGATATGATGTGGCATATTTCTTGGTCTCAGCCGGGCGGAGAAAAAAAACCTGGCCGCTTGATGTCGCCAGATACATTATTTTTTTTTGCGCGGGCTCACGTGTGGACCAAGCTATGTGGGAACTTGGGAAAGCCCATGCGGGATTTACGCCCAAGCCACTCATCGCCTGCCAGAAGCTTCAGGACTGAGTGAGTGGTTTGGCTTGGAGTTGAATGTTTTGGCTGGGGTCGAGTGCGTTGAAATCGGGTGACCCAAAGGATTTTGGGTGGTTTTCCTGTTGGTTTTCGCTTGCAACTAAGGTGAAAAGTTTTGAGCCTCAACCATGAAACCATGAAACCACCTCCACCAGAGGTGCAACCCTGAAAGAAACCCAAGGCAAGCGCCCGCCGGACGCCGGAGGGTTTGTCTAGCGCGCCAGACAGCGAGCTCATCACGCAGCTCACGGTGGACGCGGCCGAAGCCAGCGGCCTTTCGGGCATCAGGCGGAGTCGCGGAGTCGGGCCGGGCAGACCAAAAGCAAAAGCAACCTGGGCTCTGCACCTGCGCGGGTGGGCAAAGATGGGACCCCTCTGCCACAATGGCTTTCTCGTGTGTGTGTGTGTGTGCTGTGCGTGGGAGTGTGGTGTGTGTGTGTGGGTGTGAGTTTCTTTGAGGGTAGCTCTGTGGTTGGTTTATCGGGGAGCCAAAATGAAAACACTTGGAATTTTGGGACGGGGTCCCCCGCGGTCTCGTCCCCCAATTTGACAAAACCACATGGGTCCCATTGGGTCCCCCAAAAGGAAGTTCCTTTGAAATGATAGAATTGTTCGGATCTCATGTGAAACATGCGGAGCAACCGTTTTGCTCTTTGATCGGGGTCCAAGAGCCCACTGTGAAGCCAGTTGAGCTTATTGTGGGTCGGTGAATTGCAGGGGGCAAACAGGAAACTATTCCTACACGGCGATCTTTGCCCAGACTTGGGGAGCGTTGTTCCTTGAGCTTCGGAGGGTGGGGAGACCATCAAGGGCTTTATGGGTCGTCCTGAGACTTCTTGGCTCCAATGATCAAGCCGTGCACCCGATTCATGCTTAAGACAAATCAAGCAAACTAGCAAGCAAGCGACCTATGTCGCTGCCGAGCTCCAATCATTTGAAGGGTAGAGGGGAAGGCAGGCAATGCAGCTGTTATGTTTCCTTTGGTTGAACTCCAAGCATCCTTCAGGATGAGAGGTGCTCACGAGTCTAGATTCAGTCGCACGTGGGCTGGCTGGTGAGGTTGTTCCCAATCAAACTGAAGGAAAGGCATCGCCACTTTGCACAGCCTTGGGGGGTTATATCCACGGGTTCACATTCTGTGGCAAGCCACGCAGGGACCCCTTTCAGTTTAGCTTGGAAGGAAATCAACATGCAGCCAATCCTTAGGAGAACTTCCCCATAGTTTTTGAGACGTCTCGATGCTGTCAAATTGCTTGAGGTCTCTTCCTGAATGTTTGGTATAGTCCGTAATGCACAGAGTTCCACAGGCATCCACCGTTGTACCCAATCGCTGTGTGCAAGGTATTGGCTGGATGTTGTGACTTGTTGCAGGCAATGTGTTTGCATTTTGTTGGCCAGCACAAGCCTTGGAATCATCCCTGTTCAGAAGATCACCATATCCCAAAGGGACACCTAGGCTACCAGGGTTCCATGCGTTGGGAAGTAGGTTATACCAATGGTTGAAGATTTACCATGGTTACAGCAGCTACAACCTTCTTACTTACGTAGGCTCAAACTCAACATCCCAGGCAGTGCCCCAAAATGGGTTCAATTGTTAGATTGCGCCCCCGCCCTTTTGGAAGCACAATCACACTCTTTTTCAGAAGGCAACGTGGTCGGGTAGCCCCAATTTGCTGGTTTGGATGTTTGGTTTGGGTTTTTTGAACCCCTGGTTGTCGTGAGTACATGGGAAACCACTCCCCTACCCGAACACCTCCACCAATCCAATCCAAACCACCAAAACAACAACCATCAACTCACTTCCCGAGTTCATGGACTTTTTATGTATATATATATAATATATAATATATATAAATAATATATATATATATAATATATATATATATATATTCCGTGTTGCCACCCTCCCCCAAGAAGGTATGGGGGCCCCGTGACCCCGGAAAGGCCCGGGGGGGGGTCATCCGACGGATTCATGAGCATTGACGATGTGGAAGTAGACAAGAACCACATCCACGGGGGGGGGGGTAGTTCCACCCATGACCAGTAGACCAGACCCGGGGGGAACTGGTTCCACCATGACCATTGGGGGGGGGGGGCTGGCAACGCTGTACCATATATGTAAATGTGTGTGTATATATATATATATGTATTTATTTATTTGTTTGTTTGGGAACGACCATTGCAGTGGTAAATCGAAAGCTTGGAATTGGACCTTTTGTTTGGCCAATCTTGGATCGGAAGTGAAGGGGCAAAGCGCAAAGCCACGAAAGCGAGTCCGCAGTCCGCAGGCCGCCGCCGAGGGTGAAGAAGCGCCGGAGGTCCTCCCTCTTCTCCAAGCGCTCGGAGTGAGCGCTCCGCTCACTATGCGAAGCGCGGGAGTGGAGCGCGTCGCCGGCGCCGTCCGTAAGCAAAATCGGGGGGGTTGGCGCAAAGTGGGGGACGGAGCAGGGCTTCGAAGATTGCGGGGTTGGCTTGAAATGGGTTAACAGGGCTGAGCATACCCCAAGGTTTGGGGAGGTTGTTCCTTTCGTTTCGAATCCTTCGGCTGCCCCTAGGCTTGTGCGGGCGGTTCCTGGTTCAGAATGGGGAAGCGACCAGAAATGAAAGGTGGAACAACCCATTTTGGATCCCGTTGGAAGCAACTGTGTGCGGGTGTTTGCTGAGGGCAACTCCTCTTTGCCGGATGTGAAGGGACATGAAACGGAGAAAAAAAAAAACAAAGGAGAAAGAAACAGCACCGCATTTTAGGTCAGGAGCCCCGATTTTGACATACCCATTGACCATAGCAGCCATGGCGATCGCTTTCAGATCGCCCCCGAAGACATCTTCGGGGGGGCGCCGCTCTGCTCGTTGCACGTGGCCTGAGGGCCGTTCACTGTGAGCCAAGGGGACTTGTGGCGGAGGTTCGTTGCAGGGGCTTACGTGTTTCACTAGACAAAACCCATCATGGGCTATACAGCGATGTTGGGGTCGAATACTCTATTGTGCAGTGGCTTCCGCCTTGTTTCAACTGGTTTTGGAGTCTTGGGTTCCGGTTCCTTTAGACTCCAACCAACAAATCGGAGGCGAATTCATTTTTTCCCCCATGGAAATCCACTGGGCATCTGAGAATATGAAATGGGGCGGGGGTGGTGGCGCATGTACTTCTTTACCTGTATCCTTTTCGGGTGGTTCAAAAGGGGAAGCCAGTTTGGCTCACACACGCCCAAAGGATGACCAGTGGTTTCCAAATTCGGCGGAATGGTGAACTGCAGTTCCAGCAAAGAGGCCGAGTTCGAGTCCGCATGGCGGGTCGGGTTTGGGGTTCTGTGGTATTGCCGTATCCTATTTCAATAGGCAGTTTATGTCTTTGAGGGTCTGGAGGTTTATGTCATTGGCAGTCCTTGGTGTGCTGTATGCTTCCGAATCAGCCGACTCTCGGATTGGACATGTTCGTCATGTTGCCTTCCGAACAGGAGCAAGGACAGGGCAACGAGAATCCTTGTGCAATGTACCAAAAATGGGATTCCTGCTAATGTATCCTGGAGTTTGGGATCATTAGGTTGTGTGTCCAAGCCCCAATTCGAACCTTCCAACTTCATGTCTTCCTTTTCAAGACATCTTCCCAGGAAGGTCCCTATTGTTGATCGCCATTGCTCCAACCACAAATGCACCAAGTCCTCTTTCCCTTGCCTCGCCGTTGCTATCCAGGCAACCGGCGAATGAGCCACAACCAAGCCCGGGCACAAAGGCAAGGATTCAACGGGTCAATGACATGGTGTTGGGCTAAGGCTTAATTCCCCAATCTCCTAACCCATCGTTCTCTTTAGAAGCCACCTATTTTCCAGGTGTTGGGCCCATGATTTCAAAAAACATCGGATCCCTGAAGAGAATGGGGAGGGTACCACTAGAGTTGGACAGACCACCAGGTGTTGGGTAGACCGTCTCAAGCCACGAGCCCGATGAATGAATGTTGGACGAATGAACCCATGGATCTGGGTGTGTGGTTTTGCAGGCCCACCTTTTGGTTGGTAAGTGGAAAGCCAAAAGGAACCCCATCAGCCTGGATCGCCAGTGGCTGTTTTTCTTTTTTCCATGCACTTGACCTCAAAAACCCAGCAACGGTGACTGAACCAAGCAGCAAGTTTCTGGGTTTTCATCTACCAGGTTTTGATTGTGGCTCGAAAAGGCCGTGGCTCCGCGCTGCCAAAGTGCAGCAGACCGGATCTCCAACCCATCAGCGAGAGCTCGATTCCGGGGGTCGAATACGAACGCCTTTTTTCGGGGTGCCTATTGTATTGGGTTTCCTATTGTTTGGGTGAAAGGTCCTTTTCGGCTTTTCTATTTCTTCGGCGAAAGGTCCTTTTTTGGGCTTCCCATTTTTTGGGGTGAAAGGTCCTTTTTGGAGGTTCCCATTTTTCATTCGAGCGCAAGTTGCCCAGCGCCTTGGCTGGGAAGCCAGGATTAAGGCCCTGGAGCATTGAGTCCTTTTTGCAGCGTCTCAAGCTGCATCGTCTAAACACAAGGCGTCCCTTGCCTCACGCGAATTCGTTTCGCCCAGAATAAATTGAATGTTTCTCAAAATGGGGATCCCCCTGCCAATGTGTGGATTCCGTTTGGTTTCGTTTTAAGTGCCAATAGAAATTCAGGGGTTCCACCATTTTGAGAAGCACGCATTTCTTCAGCAAGAAACGGGTTCGCTTCTTTTTTTTGCAATGCTCACCGAGCAGCTTAACAATTGCCACAGGTGGCTAGTGGAGGTCTGCCTCAGATTTCGGCGCGGGAGCGGTCAGTCTCGACATAGAGATACAGACATAGGCGCACGATCAGTCGAGTTTTCCTTGACTCTGCACGGCCCTCACAAAATTGGTCAGTACTCAAAGGAAAGGGGTCATAACTCCACTTCTAAGTAGTTGTGGAGGTTCCAGGTACTCTTTTTTCTTGGGATTTGGCTGCCTTTGAAATACTCCAACGAACACATCAACCCAACCCATGGGCAACTGGGCAGCTGGGCACTTGAGATACAGACCGGGAAACTGCTGCGTCCATGTATGAGAAGCTCGACATCCCCTTGGCTTGACAACAAGTTCATTCATGACACTGACATGCGTTACTTGCATTTTGCGCCAGAGTAACAAAAACAATCACAGATGTGTGTTGCAACTTGTGCAGATCTGCGAGGAAGGGTCATTTCTTGACTTGTTGCAAGTCGGCACGTTGCCAATCGTACCGTTTCTTAGAGAAACTATGGCTGATCTCAACAAAGCGCACAAGACGACGCAATTGCTGAGTTGGCACAAGGAATCAAACTTGCCACTATAAATCTAGGCTTCATTTGGATGAGTGGGTTTTCCCTGCTTGCCCTGTGAACACCCGAAAGACGGGGGACCTACCCACCCAGTCTAGTGAACACACACGCACATGCGCGCACACACACAGACACACACACACACACACCACACACACACACAGACACAGACCCAGACACAGACACACAAACACACACACAGACACACAGACACACAGACACACAGACACACAGACACACATACACACAGAGACACAGAGACACACACACACACCACACACCACACACCACACACCACACACCACACAACACACAACACACAACACACAACACACAACACACAACACACCACACACCACACACCACACACCACACACCACACACCACACACCACACACCACACACGACGAAATGGGGCGGGGGTGGTGGCGCATGTACTTCTTTACCTGTATCCTTTTCGGGTGGTTCAAAAGGGGAAGCCAGTTTGGCTCACACACGCCCAAAGGATGACCAGTGGTTTCCAAATTAGGCGGAATGGTGAACACACGACACACGACACACGACACACGACACACGACACACGACACACGACACACGACACACGACACAACACACAACACACAACACACAACACGCAACACACAACACACAACACACAACACACAACACACACACACACACACACGCGCACACACACACACACTTTGTTCTCCGAAAAAATGGACCCCAGAACTTCGCTGCGATTTATTTAGGGCCTTCTTGTGCGCAAGACTCTTTGGATCGTTCCCGGATTTAATGCTGCGCCAGCTCAAGTCCTGGGCTATCGTGGGGTTTCACCGCCGGGCTGCAAAGTAGCACCGGCGGACAGGTTCCGAACAGCCTGGCCAAAAGGGGAGTGCCAGCCTGACGAGAAGCGACATTCGGAGCTCACATTTGCCTTCCTGTTTGTGGGTCAGGCTAATCTAGCTTTCAGGTGCCTTGACAATGTGGTACCTTACCTCCTGGACATCTAGATCAACACAACCTTGCTTCTCCGTTTGATTGTCAGAATCGCTCACCACACCGGCAAAGGATGCAACTGGCCACTTGCCTGCGGAGGGCCGCTTTCAGGGCTGGTCGGAGGGGGACCCGGGGACCCGCGCAGGTGGACAACAACCAGCTGGAGACTTTGGGCTACCTGGGCTTTTTGCCCTCCTTGGAGCGCTTGCAGGAGAGTGATTTCAGTTATATCGGGGCAGGTGGCTCCCGTTGCGGGATCACTTGGGCTTGGTCCAGCCACTTCGATACAAGGGGCATCTCCTCCATTTGTATCTTGACTGCTATTGGGTTGGATCTTTAGACTTTCACTTTTTGGCTGAAATCAAGGGGTTTTCCCACTAAACCCATAAGTTAACTAAACTTTTTGCAGAGGGTTCAACAGCAACCAAGATATGGGGAGCTTCGTCTTTGGGAAGCCATCTCTTGATTGTATCATAGGCAATCCCCTTTCCCGCAGCTGTGGGCAGGTGCGTGCCCCAGTGTGGGGAGTCGGTTTTTTTCGGCCGAGTCTTTGGGCTTTTCCTGGAAAGGTTGCCCGTTTTTCTGAACCGGCTGACCCGGCTGAACCCTTTCAAACTCGTTAAGTAGTCTGGGTGTGTTAAGACATGGGGCACTCCCGAGGGCGGTTCTGTGAACCCATGCGAAGGTCTTGCGGGGAGGGTCGGCCAGGGCTTGGCTTGAAACTGAGGCGCAACTTGGCATGAGAAAGGCGCAACGAGGGATCACGAGGGCTTAATGACGACTGCGATCTGCAGGGTCAAGGAAACCTGGGTCGGATCAGGGGCAATCTGGACTGAAGAGTGCCAAGGCTGAATTGTTCCGCTTGCCCCAACTGCGATGTCGAGTGTTCTGCTGAGCTCGTTTCTGTAGTGCGAGTCTCGCCCACAAGTTCTGTAGAGGCTGTGGGGTGTTTTATCGGTGCCTCCACGGTTTGGGCAATCCTTTGGCTTCACGAAGGATCACCTCGCTCGTGGGCTGCGGACTTGTGACTCATGGCTGGTAGGTGTATTGCCTCATTTCCCCTCGCAGATCCTTCCAAGTTTTGAGGTGCAGTTGCTCTATCGGGCGGTCCGCGTGATTTTCCCTTTACATAGTTGGACATAGAAAGCAAGCCAGCCGCACTCGCACAGAAGGCATGGTGAGTTGCAGGGAGCTTTGCAGGCGAAGCACAACCGGATCCGGTCCCTTGCCTCCCCCATCGCTGCGGGGCGCCTGATTTGGATTGATTTGGGGCGCCGTTCAATCCTCACCCATGGCTTAAGGGGATGAATCCGCTCCCCGGAGTCGGCCACTTTTACACGGGCTCCTTCACGTCTGTCGAGCGTGGCCCGTCGACCTTGATGGGGGGGGAGCTAGCACCTGGGCTCCGACTGTACCTGGAGTCGCACATGGCCACGAGCGGGACCCAATCCAACCACCAAAATGGGGGAATTCACCTACCCCAAAATGGGATCCCATTGGTTTTGCCCCACAGCCACATGTTGGTCTACCTTTGCCTGTGACATGCAGTTGAAAAGGAAAGCACCACAACACGAAGCTCGGATCCCCTCCAACCCTTTGTGTTCTTCACCCTGCAATCTTCACATGGAGCCGGCAAGTTACAGCTTCTTTCAACCGGCTTGCTTTAGCGAGGTATGGTCAAGGATTTGTATTTCTGCGGATATCAAACAACCTTGCCGTACTTGTTCTACGCCTGTGTCACAACACACGCTGTCATTCCGGTGTTTCGCATTGAGTTGGGCATGGTGGAGAATCCTTCATCACAGAAAATTGGTTTCTGCCAAATGATGGATTTTCCATGGGTGTTGCTTGTAAACCCTTCACTTGCCTATGGACCAACTTGTGCCCATCGCAGTTCATTAATGTTTGTATCCACTTGCGCAAGTTCTTTGCACGCCAAATGGACAGTGTATGCACTTCATTTATAGCGCCACCTTTGAATCCCTCAAAGGAACATGGTTTCCCACATGAACAATTGACAATACCACTGGTAGTCTGCTGTTGCTTGGCAGAGGGCGTGCGTGGTCCGCAAAAAAACAGAAACAACAAGCAGAGTCCTACCCAAGAATTATACAATTCATTTTCATTTGGCCATATCTCATGTCGTCTCATGTTGCTGGAAAGCAGTGACCACCATGTTCTTTTGAGCATATCTCATGCCGGAAAGAAGTGACCATGAAGGCCTTCTCGCTTCCAACTTAACGGTGGGTGTCCCTTCGCTTCAGGCCAGCCCCTTGCTGAAGACGCTGGAACTGGCTCGGGGCCGAGCGCAGGTTGCGGGCACGAAACGAACGGCTGGAACGAAGGTGATGGTGGAAATCGAAATCCGGGAGTCCCGCACCGTTCAGAAACCCAAGGGAATGATTCGATGATTCGATTCTCTGGTAAGTATCAACAAACGTTATGGTTTCCGCATGGCTTCTTAGGTGGTGCAGGATTTTATTTCGTCCATCCACTGTGTGTTAGCTGTAAATGGGCAAGTCTGCATGGAAGCAACGGGCTTTCCTGCTATATCGAACAACAAGCTCGATGCTCCTTTGCCATTCATGGGGAGCCGTCTCATGGGGAGCCCCAAATGGAATCCCTGAAGTGATTGGTTTCGCTCGGGTGATGGCCTTAGTGTGTGCACTGTCCGGAATTGTTTGTCTCAAATGAACGGACCATGGACCCACAAAATGGATGGAGTCCTCTTGGTGTCTCTTCAATACCAAGGGTTAGTCCAGCAAAAGTCCTGCCGCGAATCACGGATTGTCAACGTGATGTTCCGAAGAGGATGTCCCAGGGGGTCAAGCCATTGCCATGAATACTTTTGTTGCCCCTTCAATTGCAATGCTGGAGCATATTGCTTTTAGGGTCGGGCCCAACTCAAGGAACACATGCTTTTCCCCAGCATATCCTGCATCTTGGCGAATCCGGCGAGAACCTCCAGTCGGTGCCTACTACAGAAGCATGTTGTGGCGTGGCTCGTCTGGTTGTTTGATGCACCTTAGTGCCATCCATGGTGATGGAGCGCTACGTACTTTGCACGCCTAGATGGAAACAGAATCATAAGCCATGAGATTGTCTCGAGGCAAGGCCGCAAACGAATCGTGCTTTTCCCTGCACGTGCCCCTTTCCAAAAACCAAAGCACTATAGACTAGGCACAACGAGGTGGGACATTTCCCCCGAAATCACTCCATGTTGGGCCTGGTGGTTCCCAGCCATCCGGTTCCTTAGCTTTTTTTTTTTTCGCTTTTTGCGTGGGGTTTAGTGTGGGGTTTCCCATATTTAATCCACTAGACGCTCGCCACTTTTCGCAGATCTGACGGAGAGCCCAGTCCCAGTCGCCTGGCTGCAGCCTGGCTCAAGCCATGCGGTAGTCTGCAAACTCCATCGGCCCTCAGGCGCGAATTGAAGGGGTCAAGGGCGGATGGAAGGCTCGGCTCGGGAGTCGGGAGGCGAAAAGGGTATCGTTTTTTTGGGTGAATTATAACGACCTCACACGACCGAATTCACCCCAAATGGTGGTTTATGTGCGTTTATGTGGGGACTGGACCCCCCAACCACCTCAGTTCAGGTTGGTGAATATTGTAGTTCACCCAGATCCTTTTTGGGAGGGTCTGGCTCATATATCTAAGATGTTATAAGCGGCGCAGGTGTTTAGGCGCAGGTCTTCACATAGCAAGGTGCCACAGTTTAGTACATGTTTTCGAGCCACAGCCATGTGCCCGTTGGGTTTGGGGATGTTTTGTCCAAGTTGCAAACCGAAAGGTTTGCCGCTCGTTTCGTCGGCGCACTGTGGGACGACTGGCCGCAAGACGACACTGGGAAATGCGTTGCTTCTTACTTGGTGGCTCCCAGCCATCCCCTTAGCTTTTTAGCCTTTTAGTGCTTAGTGGTAGTTTCCATTTGACCCACTAAAAGTGATTCACTTTTGGCGGGGGATCTGAGGGCAGCCCGGCTTAGTATTAGGATGTTTGTGGTGTTCATTCTCGAAGAATTCCATGGGCGGGTTGGAGGATCCTGGCCACGATCACCCGGCTTTTCAGTGCTTCTGACATCAGCCCACGGAAGAGCTGATTGGGGGCTGGTTTGATCCGCGAAGCCAGCCACCCACTTCCTGAGCTGGACTTTGAACTTTTGGGGAAATTTGAGTGGTAAGCAAAAAGTTGGACTTTTTCTGGCCATTCCAGCCGATCGGAAGTGAGTTGCCAGCCAACCAACCAGCCAAGCCCAAACAAACAGGCAGGCCTTCGACGAAATGGGCCGGGCGAGCCTTGGCCAGAAGAGTTGGTCGGGTCAGTTTGGCAGCTTGGGCAGCTTGGGCCAGGTGGGTCAGGTAGGTCAGGTGGGTCAGGTAGGTCAGGTGGGTCAGGTGGGTCAGGTGGGTCAGGTGGGTCAGGTGGGCAGCTTGTTTCTTGGTTTGGTCAGGTGGTCACTTGGTTCAGTTGGGTCAGGCTTGTTTCTTTGGGTTGTTTGGTGCATTGAACGGGGCCACCCTGGCTGCAGGTTTGCGAAAGAGCAGCCGAAAAGGCCCGCTGCTTTAACACGGGGCCACAGTCCTTGAATCCACTCAGACAGGCGCTGTGAAGGCAGGTTGCTGTTGAAGGTACTGGACTTCAACCTGTTCACAAGACTCCCTTTGATCACCCAACATGTACCCATAGTGTCGCACGGTCGTTTCGAACATATGGCCGGCTGTTCAAAGAAAGCCCTAAGCAGGTGTCAGGTATGCTGAGTCAGACTGTCAAGAAGTTCATCGAGTTTCAGAGCAAAGCCCCTTGTGAGCTCAGCCGATTCGCGCTCTAATTCAGACGGGCTCTCCAGCCAGAGTGATGCGACACATTTGCGCAATAGCATTGCATCTCACTGCATTTCACCATCTATATTATAGGTGACGCATTTTTTTTTCAGTGTGTGCTGGTCGCACAAAGTTACATCTTGTGAACGGCTTGCTTGCTGAGAGAACAAAACCAGTCGGTTTGGTCATAGGACCGAAGTTCACAGGACATTAGCCAATTTCCGCGTGAGAAAATCGTCGTTGAGATCTTGTAGACTTTCGGCGTGCCCCAGACTGGTGCCTTTCTTCTTTTGGCTATGTAGAGTCAGTGGCCATGTGATTGAAGCTGACAATTTCAACCTCTCTGGGATTGTTTGCCAGTCAGTCCGTTGGGTTTTACCATTCTTGCTCTTGTTATTGGGCGGGGTTCCCTTTTGAAGCACGCACAAGGTCGGACGGGTTCTTTTTCTCACCGGGAAACTGGGTGTTGCGTCCTGCAAAGGGATGAAAGGCAGGTCTCCCTCTCCTCTTGCCCCCGCCCAGTCGGGGAATGCTGGTACGAGCGGAGGCCGGGCAGGGCCTTTTTTGACGTGGGAAGTAGCTGGAAGCTTCGCCAGCTGCTGAGGCTCACTATCTTCAGTAGGATTCTTGATGTTGTCTGGGCATTTTGCCCTTTGGGGTGTTTCGAGCGCCTGTGTCGGAGTTTCTGTCAGGAGTGCTTTTGGGCCTGGGTTTGGTGTTTTGAAAGTCGGTTCTATGGATCTTCCGCGTGGGTTCGCCGCCTTAGGCGTGTCCTATCTGCTTGGGGTTGGTGCGATAGGTTGGGAATCGGTTTTGGGGATTCACGAATAAAGGAAACCACCAGTTGGATGGTTTATGAGGGTCATTCCCTCATTCCCTGCTGAGAAACAGCAAGAAAGTTGAGGATGTCCCTGTTTCCGAGTGGCAAGTTGAACCGTCGCTGCTTCGCTTCTGTCTCCATGTCCGTATTTGCGGAGCAAATACTAAGTGCTGAGGGGTTGAACGAGACCCGTCTCTTTCAGATATATTGGAACACTTGCAGTTTATTGTTTGGATTTCCTGGCACGGTGTTCTCCCATTCAAGCTTCTTTTGCATGACATGTTCAACGGCGTAGGACAACGGCTTAGACGTGAGTTTTGTCAAGGAACAGGCGCCAATTCAAGCCCAACTCTGCAACCAGGCAAAGGGACGTTTGCTGGCAACTACCTCCTTGCGGACTCTTCCTTTGTTTTGGCCCGTGCTGCTCGCTTGACAGTTGCCCGCCTCCAGTTGCGAGCAGTCGCCACTCGTCACATGTGCTTGTGTTCTCTAGAAGACGACCAAACCAGGGAAGTCAATTGATGAAAGGTTTCCTTTGGTATCCCCTCACAGACCAAATGTCCGCCCTTGCCCTTGACAGGGTCCAATCGGAACAACTGGGAAGCGTGAGGCGATGTGGATCAAGTACTCGCCTTGGCGATGCCCGGCTGCAGGGTTTGGGAGGAACAAAACAAAGCGATGATAGAAGCTCTGAAAAGGACTATGTCATACCTTCCCCAGAATTAGTTATCCTTCTTTTTCTTTTTTTTTGCTTTTCTTGGGTTCCCTTTGTTTCCACTCACCAGGCAAAAAAACAGAAAAACACAAAACACAATATGTTTGGCAGGGGTCCTAACTCCAGCCAAGATACGACTCATCTTCGACGCGTTACTCAGGCCATCTTGAGTTCAACGAAGACTGTGAATGCCATGTTCAGATTCCATTTGTGGCAATCTTCAGGCTTGGCTCAGTCGCGATCTATAGCATGTAATTCAATGCGTGCCATGCTTGGCATGCCAAGGATTGATCCACCGCCTCTCCGGCTACTTACAGAATTGCGTCAATCAGAAGGCCAGAGTGGCCCAGTGCCGTGCGGCCGTCGCCGGAAAGAAACAACAATACACACACACACACACACACGCACGCACGCACACACACACACACACACACACACACACACACACACACACACACACACACACACACACACACACACACACACACACACACACACACACACACACACACACACACACACACACACACACACACACACACACACACACACACACACACACACACACACACACACACACACACACACACACACACACACACACACACACACACACACACACACACACACACACACACACACACACACACACACACACACACACACACACACACACACACACACACACACACACACACACACACACACACACACACACACACACACACACACACACACACACACACACACACACACACACACACACACACACACACACACACACACACACACACACGCACACCCGCACACCCGCACACCCGCACACGCACACCGCACACCCGCACACCCGCACACCCGCACACCCGCACACCCGCACACCCGCACACCCGCACACCCGCACACCCACACCCGCACACCCGCACACCCGCACACCCGCACACCCGCACACCCGCACACCCGCACACCCGCACACCCGCACACCCGCACACCCGCACACCCGCACACCCGCACACCCGCACACCCGCACACCCGCACACCCGCACACCCGCACACCCGCACACCCGCACACCCGCACACCCGCACACCCGCACACCCGCACACCCGCACACCCGCACACCCGCACACCCGCACACCCGCACACCCGCACACCCGCACACCCGCACACCCGCACACCCGCACACCCGCACGCCCGCACGCACCGCACGCCCGCACGCACGCACGCACGCACGCACGCACGCACGCACGCACGCACGCACCACACACACACACACACACACACACACACACACACACACACACACACACACACACACACACACACACACACACACACACACACACACACACACACATCGGCGTTGCCCAAAATCCACGTTTTGGCTTTGGTTTACGTCCCAGGTCTTTTGCAACTAGACGGCGTATTGGAACCTAGTGTCCCTGCAGGTTGCCAATCAGCGAGGTCCCAGCGAGATACCATGGAAGGTCTTGAAAGCTCAGCTTCAAACTTGCCGTCAAAAAACGATACCCCAAAACCTGAGAACAAAATCTGAAAAACGGTACGGGACGTCCTAGCATCAGAATGAATACACCCCAGACAAGTAATTTTGACGCTGACTCATGTCAGAATTTGGGGGCACAGGATGAGATTCAGCGTTCCTTCGGAACGGCCAACGCCGCTTGCGGCGTTCTGACCAGGCGGCGTTACACTGGTTCCACCCTACGAGCGATGCAAGGGGTAGAGGTAGGACACATTCTACGCTCTACGAGTGGCAATCAGCGAAGCAACCTATAAATATGTTTTCTAGCAGGGTCTTTCCAATCACGCGATCGAACAATTGCCATGAGTTTTCATGGGCCAATCAGCTCAGTGATTGGACAGCAGCTAGGTATGGCTGGTTTGGTTTATCCCTTTCGGGGGCTCGGCCTTGGTGGTTCGGATTGCTTTGGATTTGGATTTGAACCCCTTGGTGCTCGTCCAGTGAGGGGTGCCCAGGGCACCCCTTCTGCCTTCCCCGCCGAACTCACCAAACCACCGGGCTCCAAGGCTCCAATCCCCCCCCTTTGCGAGGGAAGCTGATATCTTCACACATAGTGTCTGGGTGAATTATAACGACCTCACACAACCTCATCCCAAATGGTGGTTTATGTGGCGAATAGCCCCCCAAGCACCTTATTTCAGGTTGGTGAAATAGTGGCATATGTCGCCCCCCGGTTGTTTCTAACTCGACAATTTTCAGGTGGTCTTGGGGTGGCTCGTCCTGGACTCCATTGTCAGCTTTTCAATGCTGGTCTTCTACATTGTCTTCCGCGACATCGCATCTCTTGGCGCATCCTGGCGGGACGTTCTGCCATGAGCTTGTGAAGGTTGGGCGTTCATTTGAAAACTTGTGCTGTTCGCTGGATGTAAGTTTGTGTTGCAAGTAGGGGCCCGCAGACATGGTTATGTAGTACAGCTATATAAAGCATGTTTGTGGTTCCCTACTTTCAACACAAATTCACATCCGTAGGGTAGGGGGCCGCAAGCACGTTTGTATAGTTTCTTTTGGCTTGCCTTTAAGAAGCCAACAAAAAGGGGGGCTGTCCACACATCCTGTGCCCTGGTCAAAGCGGTGTGAATCCCCCCCCCGGCGAGGAGTGTTGTCCACCCACCCGGACAAAGTAGATTTGGAGATTTGGATAGATATGACATGTGTCAAGCTCGAGTTGTTGTTTTGTTTTTTTTGGGTGGGGGAGGAAGGCTTTGAGCCGCAACCAAAAGGACTCCAAGTCTTCGGGCCGCCCCTGTTGGAACATTTGGCGGAATCAAGACTTGCATGCAGGATTGCCCAACCCTGCCCCATTTTGAGTGCCCAAAAAGTCGCAGTGACGAAAATCCAACTTGGACCAGCCCCTGAGTCCAGCTCAAAAAGTCGCAGTGAAGAAAATCCCACTATGACCAGCCCCAACCCATTTCGAGTCCAGCCCATTTTGAAGAGAATGTCGCCCCCCCCGCGCGCTTTTTTGCTCCTCAGTTGCGGCACTCCAAGCGCCTCTGGCTCATAGGCGGGCCCGCCTTTTGGGGGGCCGTCGCCGGAGGGGCCAGTTTTATCCCAGGGAGAAGGTGGGGGATTTCGGTTTCGGGCTTGCCGGTGTGCTAAAATAAGCCAAAAAAGTAATTAAGGCAACTCAAGTTGATGACCAGTCTTCGAACCTTGCAGGGCGTCTGCAACCTGGTAGGGAGCAGCGTAACACGAATCATCCTTCCGGATGGATGTCCTTTTTGGTTGTTTTGGTCGAAAAATCGAGGGCGATTCCTGGTAAATCCTGTTGGTTTAGTCATCTACCAGGGAAATCCATCTATTGCCCCCTGAAAGGGCGCCTAGATGGTAAAATGGGATGGGATCCGGCAGAATCCGGTCCCTTGGGCCTCCTTCGGTTTGCTTTGGCCTGGGTGTCTACTGGAAAACGCTTCCATTCAACCCACGAAGCCCAGTTTTTTGAGTGGATTCCGCATTTGGTTTTCCACTTTTGTTTTTTTTTTTTGTTTGGTGGAAAGGGTTGGCTTTCTGGAAAGTCCACCAACCAAAAAGGATGCCCTTGTTTTCCCCATGGAAATCCACTGGGCATCTGAGTAAGAGTTAAGACTTGTTGGCAATGGAAAACGGAGAGCCCAGGCAATCCCCCAAAGCGAACCCACAAAGCGAAGGTTCATGCAAAAGGGGCAAGGTGGAAGCATCATCTTTCGGATTGTGTTCCAAGGGAAATAGAAGAGGTCGAGGATTTCGGAGGGTCGTCCCTCTTTTTGAAAAGCGCCATCCCCCGAAGAAAGCACTCACGGAGTCTCGGTTTTGACCGTGTGAAACTTGGGCTTGCGGTGAATACACGGAGAGGAGAAGTTGTGGTTGGACTAAGGACGCTTAATATAGGTGTCCTTTTTGTGTTTACCTGGTGGTTCCATCAACTACCAGGGCCATCTCTTTGCCCAAACAGGACACCTAGGGGCTTCTAGGGAAGCCATCCAGGAGAGGCTCCCGGATGAACTCCCGGCTTAAAGAACATGGCGCCCCACCTCTTCGTGCATTTGCTTCGCAGGGCTGGTGCGCCTGAGCGTGCTGGCCTTCTCGGTTCACGTGGTCTTCCACAGGAGGCGGACGTGGGAAGGGGATGGGGCCGCTTTGGGGAAGGTCATGGCGCTTGACCGCGGCTCCAGGTCCATATTGAGGATGGACGAAATCCATTTCGCACCACCTCAGAGACCCTGAGAATTTCGGATGACTCCCCTGTAAATACCAACAAACACTGGTTTCCCATGGTTTCCAAGTGGCGCAGGATTTCGCAACCATCCACAGTCTTGAGGCCTTGCGGCTTTGACTTGCGAGACTAGCCTGCGGCATTGCTTCGGGTCGCCGCGGGGGTTCGGTTCGCTGGGGAAGCGGTTCGGCCAGTCGCTTCTGTGGGCCATGGAAGCCCAAGTCGAGCCACGTTTTTGAGCAGGAAAGCCTCTGATTTGGAGGCGCCGGTGAAAAACCACCCGAAGTCACGGGCTGGGAGGCGTGTTGGCTTGAGGTTAAGGCGGTTGGAGCTTGGGGCTAGGTTGGGCTGGATGGGGTTGGGTTTGGGTATTGTTGGTTGATTGGTTGGGTGGGCGGTAGGTGGGATGGCGTGCTGGGATTAGCGGGTTGGTGGGTGGTTGGGGTGGTTGGTGGTTTGGTGGGCTTTTGTGTGTTGTCTTGATGGCATGCAAGTGTCGTGGCCTCCAAGTGGAGTTTCCGGACTTCATATGCTTTTTGGGAGGGCCATTTTGGGTGGTAAACAGGTGTGTCTGAATGGGGAATCAAACCCCAGAGCATTTAGTCACTTCAGTGGATTGGCCGAAAGCGGTTCAACTTACATGGGGGCTGATCAATACTCCTGGCCACAAACGACCATGGACAACGTTTCCCATGGAACTGAAGGAAAACCCAGCCGTTTTCACGGGTTTCTAAAGGTTTTCTAGAAGGAAGATCCTTGCCCTGTTGCCCTGTACAGCATGGGGAAGGTACCACTAGAAGAGCGGAGCTCCACTCAGTCGGCTGAGGCATGCCAAGGGTGGGATGTTTTTCACCCTCTTCCTTCTGAACGCGTCCAGAGCTCGGCGAAGTGTCGTATTTGGCGAGTCGTTGAAACGGTGGTCGAATTGGAAGGAAACGGGAAACGAAAGGCCGTTTTTGTTTTGCGTTTCCCTTTGAAAGAGCCAGCACCGCTTCTCAAAGCGTAAACGGTGGTCGGATTGGAAGGAATGGGAAAGCTCCCTTTTGCTTTTTTGCCCCGTGGAAAGAGCCAGCATCCCTAAAGCGTAGCTTCCAAAAAGACACCTAAGGCGACCCCGGCATGCTGGCCGACTTTGAGATGCAAGAGCATGAGCCGAGCGCATTTCTTCGCCTGGCACCTTGCGGCCGAGGTTGGTCTTCACCTTGTTCATCTTCCCCATAGAGAGGCGCGGATGTGCCGCGGATGTCTGGAGATCTGCGGTTTTTTTGGCGCGTGTTGGGCGAAGAGAGCTGCCAAGTTCAAATGCTCGATCTCAGGTTTGGATTTGAAGCCCGGGTTCTTGTTGAGGGTAAATGGGCACCCACCTCGCCACCACCCCACACCACACCCCACACCCCACCCCCACCACCCACACCCCACCCCACACCCCCCCACGACCGATTCGGCGCTGCGGACCACCAAAACACGAGGGAAAGATTCGGCGCAGCTCTGACTGGTGACTCAACGGGTCGATTCGGCAGGCTGGAGTGCGACTGCCGGGTGGCCACCTGGTCTCAGCCTCTTGGCCCAACAAAAAGCGGCCTGAGCTACTGGGCCCTGCCCCCTGCCCGGGGTGGCCGGGGTCGAAACCAAGAAGACCGACGAAACCAAAACAGGAAGCATCCCCAGAGGTGTGTGGCGTTTTTTGTTTTTTTTTTGATAGGACTTCGCCCTGGTCCAACCACGCTCGCCTCTTGTCAATGACTGATGGGAAGGAATATGTGCGGTCAGAGTTGCCGCCAGCTACACCAAACACAAACAAACCGAAGGATCTGTCTCGAAAACCAGGTTTGTCGGAATAGCCTTCAAAACCGGGTTTTGGTTCCAAAAACCACATTTTGCACTTCAGAACCCGTAAGCAACCGTATCTAACCCGTACAAAACCCGTTATGAATTCGTAAGAGCCAGTAATCTATAATACAGTGTCCAAGAACGGGTTTTGGATATTTTTGGATTTGATGTTTTGTTTTGAGAACTGTTCTCCTTATGTGCCAGAGCCTCCCTTTTTCCGGGTGGTTGCTGCACATTCCGGAGGGCGTCCTTTCGCTTTTCGAGGCTGCACTCGTGTTTTCAGGGACCATTCTGAGGTTGACGTTGATGGCATCTCAGCGGAGCCAGTTCCTTTGTCAGATGTCGTGACCTCCGGTTCAGAGGCACAGTTCTGCCCACGTTCATCCCCACGTTGGCATCTCCCTGGTTTGGGTATTCCCTATCGTTGCACCCCCAGTTCTTTCTTTCCGTTGGAGACTGCTCATGGGAACCAAGACGCCCACCATGTGGCGTTGACAATCCTGCCCAATCTTCGGACTATTTTCATAAGAGCCTATGAAGCAGGGTTCCGACTGCATCATTTCCCCTTTGGGTTGCCATCTGTTGCGGTCATCACGTCGGCAACCTCAAAGTGAGTTCCGAGCGGGGCGGTGTGCTGATGTCTTTTGCTTGGAACCGTGGATGGTTGCGAAATCCTGCACCTCGAAACCAATGGAAACCATTTTTTGTTGGCATTTGTAATACACCAGGGTTTCTCAGGTGCGAGACTCGCGGATGTCCCAACCATCCACAGGAATGGAACCATGCTTCCTTCTGATCCACTCAGACCCGGCTAGGTGCAACGCTGCTCAGTCCTTCAGCTTCTCAGCGACGCGGCCGAAGAGGGCAGATCTCAGTCGCTTGAGGGACGAGATGCGCACGGATGACCGGGGTATCGGTTTTGGGCAGTCCCATTCCTCCAGTTAGTTGTCGCAGGCTTATTGGTGATGATTTGTCGCAGAATCCCTCAGGTATAGATATGAATTAGTATGCTTGCACACGATTGCATGGGGTGTCTTAGAATCCAAACACTGCACATCAGCGGCTACACACGTGCGAACGCCCGTGAGCCGTTTGCCGCAGTAGCTATACGCGGGCCAGGCAATGTCTGGTAAAGTTGGCTGCAAGCTATAGTTTGGCACCAGTTAAGTTTGTCGCGCAATTGATGTCTCATGACGCGATCATTTGCGTTGCAAGCATGTGTAGTTGCTATTTTTCTCCCCACACCTGGACCCAGTACATATGCATATGTCTTGACTGCTATTGGGTTGGATCTCTAGACTTTAACCTTTTGGGAAACAAAGGTGTTTTCCACTAAACCCCTACAAAGGTAAACCTTTTGCAGGGGGGTCAACAGCAACCAAGATGTGTGCAGTCTGCAGTGGGTTGAATCCTTCAGCAGCTTAGCCAAGTGCTTGTGCACTTCCCAGTGTCAACGGATCTGGCTGTGGGTCAAAACCGTTTTGGGATCCTATTTTGGGTTAGGTGCACCTCCCATTTTAGTCGGGATTCTAGTGGTTAGGCAAATTCCGGCTTGTGCATGTATCACGTCTCAACTGGTTGTCTAGCGTTGGCTCACTCACTCAGGAAAACGACAGGCGGGGTGCGGGACGTCTGTTGCGCTGCCTTCTGGCTGCCTCCATTTGACCAATCCGATTTGCCAAGCGAGGCAAATCCGCATGTAGTTTTTTCCTGGGACAAGTCGCAGCTCGCCTTCCGATGGGACAAGTCTTAAGCTCAGGAAGCCTACACCGCACAATCCCATGGGCGTGCCTCTATCTTCAATGAAGTCGGATAAATTTGTTTCGAGGAGCCATCCAGCTGGGATCTTCATATTGGCTAAGCTTCACTGCCGCCAAAAAGTAAGCAGAGGGAACTTGAAGACCCCTTGGCGGAGGCGGCGTGCATCGAAGTCTGTTGCAATCCAATGCCACGTGACCGATGGTTAGCAACTCACCTCTTCAGTCGCGAGGATGAGCACTCTTGCATGTTGATCATTTGTTGTTCTCTCTACTGCTAATGTTCCCCCCGGATCAATAAACCCCTGGTTGATTAATAGGGGGGTGTCCCCTTTTAGTGGGGATTCATCACTTTGGGAGGGAACACTCCCCTAATAGTGGGACGGGTTTATTAATCCTGGGTCAACATTATTGGGTTGGGTCCTTAGACTTGAGCTTTGGAAATTCTTCTGGGGGTTTCCATCAAACCCAAACGTTTCAAACTGTTCGCGGGGTCGTTGCAGCAACCAAGTGAAAGGCATTGTTCTTGGCTGCGGACTTTGACTCCGCGCCAGGTACAACGTCTACCGGCCTAAGCCCGTTCATGAGGACTGGCAGGGGTGATCGACCTGGCTCATCCTTTTCTTCCATTTGGTTAAGAATAGTTTGTATTTTCCCTTGTTGGTTTTAAATGGAATTTATCACTACCGTTTTTTTTTTTTATATATATTTTCCAGGGGTCATAACCAATTGGAAGTGTTGGTCAAACGCGGGCAACTCCCTCTTTTCTTGCAATAGAAGATGCGCAATGGAGCCAAGCTGATATATTTGTTTGGGGGTGGTCCATGTTTTCCGAAAGCACACGAATGACAGAACCCCTTTGGTTTTCACATTTGGGGGGAGCTGCGCTTGCAAGTGCCTTGTGTCCAACATAGGATCACGAGCATAAGTGAATAATTGATTGACAACACGAGAGAAAACGGTGCCGTTTGCAGGGTCCAACCAGGTGCAGACATACTCGTCTTTGCCTTTTTGACAACACATATGAAGGCTCCCTCACCTCCAAACTTCGAACCACTGAAACCAATTCTCCTTGGTTACCCTTTAGGTTTGAATGGGATGTTTAAGCCCCACAATGTTGATCCCGGATTCACACATGTCTCAGATTCATAGGGCATGGTCCCCCCACCTTGACAAACTTCCTCAAGAATCAGAGACCTTACTCGCAAGTGAGTAGCTGGTTGCTCATGAATTCCCGCCAGTGAAGGTTATGTGGTGTCTAGTGTATCCTTTGTTCCAACCATTTCTTGACCACCCCATCCGTTTTTCGACGAAGCAAACCATTTCTGTGTCAACATAGTGGGAGCAGCCCCTGCCTCAACATGCCGGTTGTATTTTTGGTTCCCTCCAAACATCTCTAAACCAACCTCAACAAGGTACGTTCAACATGCCTGAAAGTGTTGGGGTGATTTAGCTGTGGGTCAAAAATAGTACCCAAAATGGAAACCTGGTAAATGGAACCACAGACTAAAACCTGCGGGCCCCTGGTGGCTGTATTTTGACCCACACCCATGGTTACCTTGACTGACTGTAAACACCTTTAAACCGACCCTAAAAAGGTAGAAGGCGGGTACCGGTCGCTCGTGCTCCTCCCAGCGCGCCAGGGCGACCCTTGGCAGGAGGCTGGGCCGGACCACCGGATGCGGCTCGGCTGGGAAGTGGTCGCGGTCGGCTTGAGGGTAGCATTTTGGGGGGTTCGGAAACCCTGGGGGTTGTGGTTGCCTTGAGGACAGCATTTTGGGGGGTGCAAGGGGAAACCAAAAAAGCAAAAAAAACACCACTTAGGGTGGGAACCGCCAGTGTCTTTTTTGAGGCATACCCAATTGTGACGGAAGCCTTCTTTCATGGCTTTGGAGGGAAGCCAAAAAGAAACTCACCTGGAGTCCCTAAGTTTGAGAGACTTCCAAGCAATTACGACACTCTCCGAAGACTCATGTCAGCTTTGGATGCATCCGGCGAAAAGAATTGGCTGCCCACTGAATGATTCGGTCCTTCGGGTTGATGAAGGAACTGGAGCCTCCAGAAACACGACGGGTGCGTGTTTCTATTTTTTGAGGGCTCCCTTTTGCAGCGTGTGTTTCGTTTCAAAGCGAATCCAAAGGGAAACCACCCTTTGTTGTAAGTTCTGTTATTTGAGGCAGACCTGCATGTTGTAACTTCTTCTCTTGGGAGTCTGGGAGGACCGCTTCGGTGGGGCAGGCGAAGGTCAGGACTGGCCGGGCGATGTTGAGTTATTCTCAGCTTGCCACCCCGCAAAGTGGGTGTGAATGTTACTTGGGGACATCATGTAGGTGAACATCATTTAGGGTGGGGATTCATGTCAACCACGTTCTTGGTGGACATTTAGGATTCACGAGGTTTTTTGGCATTCATGTCCATCATTTTGGATTAATGTCCACCACTGTTGAGGTGGTTCCTCTATCAAGTTCATGGCCGGCTCAATGTTCGACTTTGACAGCCCATGGTACACACCTTGATCTTTCAGGACCCTGAAAAAGCAGTTGCCTTTGGCTGAGTTTCCAGTTTCAACCAAGAGCGAAACCAAGAAGGACCCTGTTTTTGCGGGCCCTTGGAAGACCAAGGTACAGAACTCGATGCATCTCAAACATGCTTTTCCGTCTTTGCGTGAGCGACCGAGCGGCCAAGGAAGGAGATCCAACCACCAGAGGTGGCGGACGTCTTGTCGCCTCCGTCGGAGGAATCTTTGATGCAGATGCAGGACACACACTGCGGTTGAAGCGCAGCCAGTCAAAATTTGAAACACTAGAGCCTTTTGCTTCAACAACGTTCAGCATGCAGAATGAGGATCCCCTCAAATGGTTTGCAATTTGTCTTCGTCTGGGTGTCAAGGATGTAGTCCACCCACAGTGTGCCTTGATTTGCTTGATGTTTTGCAGGAATCGGGTGGATGACGAAGAGACTACAAAGAAACGAGAGAATTGATCTTCGATTGGTCTCAGCCAATATCTTTTAAACAATCTATGTATCACAGTACCCATGTCCTGGACTCGAGCGGGCCCACTGAAATTTTCTGGGCTCCTCGTGTTGAGTTCCTGGAGGGTTGTCGCAGGGTTCTGGTGGGTGTCGGATGTGGGTACAGGTTGTCAGATGCGTGAAACGATAGATACATGTCACAATTACGGTCATTTGTGGGTGATGTTCTGCCTATGTTCACAGCCACATGAACGTTTTTTGACCGTCTTAATCCAAGCCAGTCAACCCTGAGCCTAGCCAAATGACAAGCCAACGCATCAACAATTTTCTTGTTGATGACTAACACAAGGTTTGGAGACGGCCTGTCAGTACGTGTCATGCAGGCAGGTCCGTAGTTTGACATCCAGGAGCCAACATTTGGGGGATAGTTTGACAGGGCTCCTTAAAATATACATTTTGCAACCATGCGAAACCTGCTTTGTCCACCAAAATAAAGGGGAACAGTTGAAGAATACTGAGCATATTGTATGTTTGACAGGTGCGATGCCAATGATGCACCACCGCTTCCAAGACATGTTTGGTCAGTAACCTTCATGTGGCATGCTTAGCTGAGAAGGGACTCCTTGAGTGTAGTTTGCCAGGAGGAATCGTCATGTGTAGGGTAGACGTTGTCTGTCCACCGTTTCACATATTCAGGAACCCATGGTCAAGCAAAGCTTCCATTCATGAGGTTCATCCCTTTTGCAACCATGACAGTTTGCAGTTGTCACGTGTTTCAGTTCTCCAAAGGTACCAATCCTCCAAACGCATCCGCGTTTGGCTCAAGCTGCCCGAGGGCGAAAAGGAGTGCGTCCGCCATTTACTTGACGACGCGCAGTATTCTTTATCTTTTGGTGGCGGCAATACTTGGATCAGGATTGAGATTGCTTGAAATCAAACACACCGAGCTGTTCTTATCTTGATTCAACTGGTTATCAGCCGCAAGCGGCTCTTAGCTGGTTCTGGATCGTGAAGCCACGGCCGAGCAGGCGAACCCCCCCATTCCGGACGATTTGTGGGAGCTGCTCAAGTGGCAAAGATCTGGGAAAAGGGGCACAAGTCAGAAGGCGACTATACTGAGACAAGTCTTGGCAGCAGACGGGTGGGACTTGGATCGCGAAGTAAGTTACTTGATCGAGTCAAGCACTTGAACCTGCCGGTGGAGTTGTATTACTGAGTACCTACTGTCGCTGAAGAATCGCAATCCGCATCTGCATCTTCTTCGACAGCCGGGACCGCCGCTCCAAGGAACACCTGTGAAGCGATCATTCAGGTTACCGGAGCCAGAACCTGCAGAAGAGCCACCGAAGGAGTGGGCGGGCCTTATTAATAAGACTGCTCAATTCGTGGCCATACAGCCGACTGAGGAAGCAAGGCAGGAATAGACTCTCCGTGCGCAAGAAGACCCTGCGAAGTATCGATTTCTGAAGGCCGAGGACGATCTGAGCGTTTTTTTCGAGCAGCATTGGAGCTGGCAGTCAAGAACGCCAGCAACTGCAGTCACAGCCTTTGCGGCCCCAGATCAACCTGCCGGACCAGGTCAGGTATTACGTGCAGGCCGAGGCTGGCACGACCTGCGTTGAGGGGACCAGTCGGTTCCGGGAGGTCCTGATGGAAGGACGTATCGTGTTCTGCACAGGGACGCAGACGTTCAACGAGGATTGCCATTGAATACAACTGCGCTGCTTGATCTGAAGCATCATTGCCCCGACTTGACAGCCGTTTGTATTTCATACTTGCGCGCGGAATCAACACGCAGGAACCTGATCGACGACTTTATTGCGAATCATCAGACCTTCTTCGCGTTTACGGCAATTTTACAACTGAACGTCCTGCTGGCAGAGTTGGAAAAGTAGCGACCATCAAAACTCTGAAGATTCCCTTGCACAAGTGCTTTATCATTGACGACAGTTGTGAAGCCATTCATTGAAGAGGCAATTGCAGCGGGGATCGCAAGCATCAGTTGCATCGCAAGCCATCAGTTGGGGGCGACAAGCATCACATTGTCGGTTGGTTCGCTGACGCTCTGCCTATTGTCGGACGTTGGGTACAAAAGCTGAACAATTGAGGTTGCACAGAGAGTGAGAAAAAGGAACGATGACGGATTGGGAAGCCCGTAGCAGGTCGCATTCGGACATTGATAGCTGATGAAACCCCTGTTCGAAGGCATCAGCCGTTTTTAAGGAGTATTTGCCCAGCATTAGCATTTATCCATGAATAAGGCAGATCATAGAATTGAGGCTAATCAGACCATGCAGAGTTCTGTGAGCAGCAGTAGAACGCCTTGTGCTATCAACAACAGCAAAATGTGTCATGTGACCCAAATGTCCCTGACCTTGCTGCGCAGGCTTGTAGTGTTCTAGATCGTGTGAGGCCCAAGCCACCGAGGACTACCATCAAATCCCGTTGATAGCGCTCACAAAGAAAGGGATTATACTCGAGACCAAGCTCAGCAGTTGTGGACTGAAGCCCAAGGTTCCGTGCAAAATGCACATGCCCAAATCCAGGAAAGGGATAGGATGCATGGCAAAATCGAAATTTGATTACACGCAGCAACAAGTGCATGTGCGAGTGTCAAAGATCAAGGAACAGGAAGTCATGATTCAGAACATGCAAGCGGGTGGTCAATATGGTGCTCCCCAGCAAACCATCCATCATGGCACGGACCCAAGTTCATGTGTGCAGGAACCATCAATGGCCGGCGCATGTGGCGCAGGAACCCACAAAGGCCGGTTCTAAGGGGCAAAAGTCAAAGCGTGACGGTGAAGCGCAAAAGCTCCACCGCGAAGCAATCTAAGGGAAGTTCTGATGTTCAGGAACCAAGAAGAATGGCCGGATCATCGGGGCTTGGGGGAGGTGATCAAATGCCACAAGCATCAAGCCAAGGCAGCCAAGGCATTGAGGCAGCCCTCAGTTTCCTAATCGCAAAGGTCGAAAACCTGACTGGGGATATGAATGATTTGAAGCAACAGAAGGCCCGTAGCTTTCATGCACAATCTTCCAGTGACAAATCTAGATCGCGTGATCAGGCTGGTAGCCAAGACACACGGCCTAACCGTGATAGCAGATCCTAGAAGCACGCCTCAAGATCCGGGATGTTCATCTAAGAGCCGTGCTAGCATAAGTGATGAAAGTGGATCTGAGTCTGATGCGACCCATCCTCAGGATCTTCTTCCAGTTCATTGAATTCAAAGAGCTCAGGTGGGGGAGGCGGCGAGGGTGGAGGGAGTAGCAAAGATTCGCCCAGCAATTCTGAAAGTGGTTCTGATTCTTCTCAAAGTGATGATCTTTACCGCAAGGAAAAGAGGCTGATGCGAGTCAAGGCTTATGAAACTTTCAAGAATCCGGCACTTCAGTTGTACAGCAACATCACAAAGCTGGCAAAGGGCGATGAAGCACCCGTGTTCAAATGGATCGATAGGTGCCACCGCGAGGACGATGTGTCGAAGTTGAAGGATTCTGGCAAATATGCTTTGTGGGTCATCGGTTGTTGGAGCAAGCGAAAGGTACTCGCTTTTCCATGGATTTCCAATCCTTGCAGGAGAAAGCCCAGAAAAAGGGTCGCCAGCCAAAAGGTCGGGTGTATACTCTCGTGGCATGTTCTTGCAAAGTACAAATCGCGACAAGGGCACCTGTTTGACTCAGCACCGTTTGTTGTCCTTGAAAACCTCGGGCAGAGATGTGAAAGTGTTGGAGAACTTCAGGACTAAGTATGACTTCGTGTTCAATTCGCTCGAAAAGGACGAGCGTCCGAGCGAAGGCTCACTTAGGACTCACTTGTTCGAAGAGCTTAAAGAGCACCCTCTGATGTTGCTGCAGATCGATAAGTGACAAAATGGGTGAAGCGTCCAGGCGGAAGAAAATACTTCTTGTGTTGACAAGTCGTTAGGTGGTGGTCAAAATCAAAAGGTTCATGCGAACGTTGCCAAAACCAAAGAGGAAAAGAAGGAAAAGCCGAAAGGGTCTAAGGAAAGCCCCAAGAAGGATGACAACCCCAAGAAGGGGGGTGAATCCAAAAAGCATTCGAACAAGCAGGACAAGGGGGAAAAGGCACCCAAGAAAGGGCGACGCCTCTGATGCTCCTGCTGCCCCTGCGCCCTCAACTCCGAAGAAGAATCAGCAGAAAGGATCCGGAAAGGGAACCCCTGGCACCCCGAGGACGAATAATGAGTTAAAGCGAAAATGCCTTGCATGTACTTCGCCTTTGATAGCTGCACGAAGGACAAGTGTGACTACCTGCATGACAAGAATAACCTGTACAAAGGGCCTAAGCCTAAGGGCTTGAGGACCCCAGCTGGCTGCAGGCGTAGCTTTTTCAAGCTCACTGCCCGGCGCACATGCTGCCAAGGTTTCCCAATGCTGCCTCAAAGGGTTGTGGGCGGGAACGTTCAGCCTGAAGGATGCTTGTTCGCAAAATGCAGAAAACGCCTGTCAAAGGGGCCAAAAGGAGCCGCAAGCAGGTGTGGAAATCGCAGGCGCCATCATCAGGATTGTTTCAAAGGACAATCATGACAATGATGACAGCGCTCTCAGCCATGTCTCTGGAAATCCCCGCAGCCCGCAATGATCAACAATTGCAACATGGCAACTGGGGTTTCTTGAATTGACAGTGGTGCTGGACAAATCTCATTTCTTAGTGATTTTGTAGATCATTTCCCAGACCCACCTGAGAAGCTAAGATTTGCTACTTGGGGGGGTTGAGGCAGGGTTCTGGTGCAATCAAAACGCAAGGGAAATTAAGCGGGA